ACTAATTTTTTAAAAAAAAAACTTTCCTCCAAACTATGGGTTAATGAAAGGCAATAGCACCGTACCTGAGAGATCGCCCAGGACCTGATTCGCTACTGGGTCTCGTAACTCCTGGTCCAGAAGGTGAGCGCATACCCGCCCATCCTCACGGATCTCACTGAAAGACTCGGTGTCTGCAGCCACCAGGCTGTACGGTTCCCGTAGCGCCTCGTCCATCGAGTCGGCAGCAGCCTTCGAGGTTGCAACTTTTATTTTGTCTGCAGTCAGCCTGCCGGACTTGGCTGCCTTCGCTTTGCTGGAGATGTGGGGCTTCTGCGCTTGAGTGGCCGTCACCAGCCGCGCTTTACTCTCATCCCCCAAACTGCACCGCAAGGCGTCCAGTTGCTGCTCGGCCGTCTGCAAGCGCATCTTCAGCGTCTTGTTCTCCCGCAGGGTTTCGTGCATCTGATCGCGCACGTCCCCGAGCGCCTGGCCGACCAGCTTGGTGATCTCCAAAACGGCTATCTCTACGGCCACTTCGAAGGCGCCGTGTATGGTCGCTGCCAGCTCGTCCTGAAAAGAAAGCGACACTTCGCAATTCAGCGGTGACCCCGCAGTCGTATGGCTGCGTGTCGACATGGCCACCTTGCTGTCCCCCTTCTTCTTTATCCCGGGACTGGTCGTTCTGTCAAGGGCCATGTCGTCGCATGATACCGCCGCAACACCGCGCGTTAACCCGGGGCAGCTATCAGCAAACAGGAGATCCGCGATACAGCCGCGACACTTCTAAGGACCTGGACTTCGGGAGTCGGCTACATGCATGCTATGCAGTGGTACACGCCGGGCAAAGCGACACTCCGTGCTCAGCAGCCGAGCAACTTATCAACAGAAGCCACACGGAAACAGATCGCCGAATTTGGTCATTTTGTTAACCACACTTTGTGTGACGGCACGCAGAGCCCCGCTAACTGGGTACTTCTCCCAACTCGCGTGATTCGTCTTAGCCCCATGCAAGTTTTTGTGATCTTAACTCATTGCGATCTCTCTCTTTTTTGCCTCAAAAACCGCTGAACTTCCCCTTTCCTGTTTACAATCTTGTTGGCCGACTAGTTTTATTTACTGGGTAACAGTAACCTTTAATTTAACCATTCTCAATCTATACATAGTTTTCCCTTGGTATTAATTTACTGTCAGAATCCTGTAAATAAAATTGAAATGTTTGATCTATATTTATACAGAAAATTAAAGTATCCTGCCACACAATGTCATGTTAATACCTTTGGTCCAACTCTGTGATATGTTATAGTTGACCGAGCATTTTCAGTGCGTTGGTCCTATGCACTGGAATGACTTTCTTTCACCGGCATGTATTTTTTCCCGGGCTGGAAATAACTGTGCTTAGAATAGGCTTAGTGGGTAAATGCTGATGTACGCTTTCTAACAAGTGCTACTGAAAGTACGCTGGCAATCTTTCCTGGTAAATCATGTGTGGTCAATATGTTTGCCTGGTGCAAGTAGCATTCATGTTGTATTTAAAGTACCAAAATCTGTAAAATGGCATAGTATTTTTTCTTTTGTGATTTTGATTTAGCCTTATACTATTTCTGAACCTGGAAATATAATTTCAAAAATGTTACGGACCCTGACTTTGTAAAGCTATATGTTGGCGAAACCCCAGCTGTTACTCTAAGATTTTCTTCCCTGAGAAACCAGTGAAGGGGTTTCTGCCAGGTCCTAGCGCCTCCCATCAATCGCTCTTTGTCTCTTTTTCATTTACTTAAAGGTGTTGCACATAAAGGTGCAATAAGCAAAGACAACTTTTTTGTCCCCACACAAACAGCCTATGACCATTCAAAATAATACTTTTAATGTACTCACGTAATTAAAACAAAGCTGAAGTGGACCAAATTCAGATGGAGACAGTGCCTTCAAAGACTGTCTCCAAGTGATGTTTTTTTCCCAAAAGGATTCCAGAGAACTCCGAACAATAATTTCAAATAGTTTAAATATTTCTATACTTGCAAATATAAATGAATTAATAAGGTTGTGCTATGATGCAGACCAGAAGCACTCTTCTTTTTAAATGGCCTGACCTTTACCAGAGTCCATAAAGGGCAGGTGGAAGTTAAGGAGACGGTGGGAAGTAATTCACACGGGTGTATTTATCATCCCAGCGTGCAGCCACTGGCACTGACAGCCTTTTCTTCAGTCAAAATGTTAATGAGCGCCAGGAGCTGTTTGCCGGGAACAAGCAGTGCGTTCGCAGTGGGAGAGGAGAGTAGAAGCACAGGAAAAGGTCACCTGTCCAGCTCTTCTGGTCGGTGTCTCTCTGTCTTTAGTGCTGTTGATGACAATAGTTGCCATCAGTGCAGGTATGACCAAATGGAACTTAGAAGGTTCTTTGTAACGAATCCAACATGTTTCAGCCATAAGAAAACATAAAAACACCACTTTTGCAGCAACCTTTTCTAAGAGCAGGCTCCAGGGTTTTCTGTCGAGGTAGAGCAACTCATTTGCCGTACCATACTTGGAAATGTGGCAACAGAACCCAGTGGTGCTGTAAGGGGGGGGGGGGGGGGGGGGGGGGGGGGGGGGGGGGGGGGGGCAGTTAAGATGATTCCAAGGCCCCGTGAGCAACAAGGGCCCTACAAAATTTGGACTTTGGAACAAAATTATGATTGGTTTGCTTTCTTTGGGCCCAAAATTTCCATGACATCCCTGACAGAACCAAATGAAGTTTCCCAGATAATCTGGTAGGGCTTCTCAATCTCTGTAGGCAGTCCAATCAAAACCTTCTATTATTAATTTACTAGAATCACTGGAATCTCACAAGAATGAGAAAATAATTAGCCAATTATTCAATAAAAGGCTTTTCATTATATCTGGAACTTTTTCCTTATATCTTCGTGACATTTTTTATTTTTAAGCAGGTCTTAGAATGGTAATTTGAAAAACATTTCGCACATATCTAGAATATAAATACATTACATTGATGATGTTACATTAAATTCCATTCAGATTCTGCCCTTTAAGTGGGACACTTTAATTTGTGGGGGGTGGGGGTGTTGAAGCTCAGGAACCGGGCAGGCAGGCCAATTAACATTTGAGTCACTTCTTGTCACGAGCAACTAACAGTGGTGACGATCTCACATTGACACATGCGACTTACCAGCACACAGGCGGCCTTAATTGTTATGGACGTAGAGTTCATCCACTATTTACAGTTACAAGAGTACCTTAAATTAAATGAATAGCATCTCTCTTTATTTGGGCAGGTGACGGGCACTGCCACAACTCCCAGGACCCCATTCTCATGGTTCCGTATTATTTCCTCTCAAAATCAAAGTCAGTCATCATGACATCACTGGCTTTTTCCTGATGACAGATCACCATCCTCATCATCACTTTTCACACTCATCCCACCTCCGCAATCCCTCGCAACCAATCAGGTCTGCTCATTTGCCAGCTAGAGGGGTATATATATAGCAAAAGAACTGGCTGCACGAAGCCAAACCCAGTGTTTAGGAGTTCGCTGTATGTTTTGACCGCTTTCATCGTATCAGATACCCAGGTCACCACAGGGAGAAGATGTGGCGCTTTCAGCTACAGGTGCTGCTTGTGACTCTCTTTGCATCGGTCCTACAGCCCATGGTGAACGGGGCCCCACAGAGAGACGCCCTGGACGATATGTCACAAGCAGAAGTCACTGAAGACAGTCAGGTGAGGGGGCTTTCCGAACGATAGGAGCGACGACTGAGGAAGTCCTAGGAAATCCTGAGACTTCTGAATGATCATCCACATTATCAATGGCAGCTTTGTAAGTTGCCTTCGTTAGTGTGTCCATCCATTACTCTCGAACCACAGCTCTGCTGTATAGCTGAATGCAACAGAAGGTTGACCTAATACTGGAGAAATACTGGTGCTGTCGTGCAATGCGTACAGAATGGCACTTTGGATCCAGCCTGATTTTATGGCAAAATTTGCAGGGTTCTTTTACATGCCAACATGAGTGCATATACAGTTAGAGTGTCCATCAGGTATTTTGTTGAGCGCTATTGGAAGAAAATCTGTATGTTATGCAGTTAGCATTTTTAATTACATTGCAGTTGTTAGGCTCTCTTTGAATGTGATTCCCAATTTCCTACTGAATGCTGCAGCATATCAGCTTAAATTTTGAAAATCCAAGCTTCTGGCTTAGGTATTCAGAGTTGTACTTGTAACCTAAAAGCAGAACTTTTAATAGGTTTATATAAATATTGATATACTTAAAATACCTTTCTGGGCTTACTTCATTGTTAACATTGTCTGATATAAATCTGCCAGCCCTGAAAACCAATGTGATCCAGTGTCTGATTAGTTGTTTGTCCATTTTCAGGATTTATCCCACATGCTGTTGCTGGAAATTTTATCCAGTGTAATGACTCAGGTGGATAACGAGGTCATGCCTGGGATGAAGGAACTGGAGTTTCAGCGGAAAGCGGTACGTCAGTTGCCGCTGTCTCAGCGAGAGCGTAAGGCTGGCTGTCGGAACTTCTTCTGGAAGACATACACCTCATGTTAATCTACTATGCGATGTAATCCGTGTGTCAGTTATTTCATGACCCATTTGAGTCTGGTTATGTTACCTGTTTGAGATGTATAAGCTATTGTAAACGGCATGTTTTAATACACAACAAGCTTTGCCTAACTTCACTGGTGCAGAGATCTTTCTGTTCACCTTTGTGGTCAGTCTTCTTCCATTTAAATAACTGCTCTTTATTGATCTATAGCTGATGGCATCTTTAGGTCAGTTCCCTTTCTCTAAAAAAAAAATAAAGATAAAAGGAAAAATGCATCCGAGCTGGATGTGAGTCATTGAAGAAAGAGCGACTAATCTTACGCAACCAGTTGCAAAGAATGACCATCACCAACCTCCGGTAGCTACTGTACAATGAAGAGAACTTTTTTTCAGTTTAAAATCTGCTTCAAAAGCAGGAGCAGTATCTAATCCATGGTGGCGTAGTCAAGCTGAAAGACAGCAAGGCCATGTAAATGTGTGGTTCATTCTGGAAAGCGAGGGAGTATTCAAGAAAATGAGGAATCCATCAAAGACCTGAAGACACTGCATAAAAATGAATGGCTTTATTAGGAGCTTCCTACAATCAACTTAAGCCAAAGCTAAAGACAATTGCCTCAAACAGCCTGCAGCTATGGTTAAGGTCCTTTATGTGGGAACAAGCACACGCGCTCAGCCCTGTAGCGAGCAGCATGCCAACCACAAGTTAGGCCCACGAGACACAATCCATGGGTGAGAGCGCACCTTCTGGAAGATGATGGGGAACAGGCATGCCATCAAGACCGGTGGACTGTCCTACACCATCAGACGCTACTCTACACTCCCCATTGAAAGGCGAACACCCAGTCGGTGCGGGAGCAGAAAAATATACCACAGTACTGGAGAAACCTAACAAAATTAACTCCACTAAAAGTAAAACACGTAGCTCAAAATAATATCCTTAATGAAAAAAAATGCAATTACAAACAAAAATGAGATCTCGATGGAGGCTATCAATGTGAAATATTCCAGGGCACAGAAGGTTCTAAAGTCTTCCCTGAGCTTCCAGTCTTAACATTTTCGCATCGGCAGGGTCTTTCGCACCATTCGAAGAAACAATTTCTGTGACATCATCACTCCAGTCCAGAAAAGGCATCTCCAAAGCACAGATTTCTGTATACCTCTCACATCTGCCCAAGGATTAAACAAACAACCAAAAAAAACTATGCAAAATGCAGCAACAAATAAACTGACTCCAACAATAGTCAACCAAAAAAATGAAACCTCTTTCAGCTCTATGCGACTTATAAAACTGGAAAAAAATAACACACATTAACATGACTGAGCAATCAAAAGAGAACCTTCATATTCTACACTTCTAAATGTAGAAAACAAGGATCTCAGTTACACTAAGTTGTTCCAAGTACATTCTCAGTGCTCAAGTTCCATGTCAGCAAGTGCTCCTCGCCCACTAGATTCCACTGAAAAGTTCTGATAAAAAAATAATAAAAAAAAAAAACATAAAAAAGTGACATTCTACACTCTAGGAGAGGGATTCATCCCAAATTTAGAACAAAAAAGCCGTATGACTCACATGGACGGGGAAAAAAGCAAAAAAACAATAAAATAAAAAATAGTGTTGGGCTCAGAGAACATTGTCCATTATTAGCAGGGCACCCCCCCCCTTAAGGTGTTTCTGTGACTTTATTCCAACAGCAGACAGTGCCCTATCCCATAAGCCACTGGAGCTACCTTTACAATCACATGACCGGGGCTAGTGACAGGATGCAGACTTTACATCTAAAGGCTGGACACCTCTCAACATACAGCACAGGAACCTTTTGCTCATTCGTGTAAATCCTTTCCATGGTGTACCTTAGATCTATTACGTTGCTCAAAATATTAGCTCTGGTCTTCTACCTGTACGGACACTGAATATCTATGAAGCAGCTGATTAGTGGGACTACAAATTTGTATGTGAAATGGGTCTTACTTAAATTTCAGTGCCTCCTGCAGGCTGCAGATTAAAACTGCAGAGGAACAGGACAGGAAACACAAAACCATGTAGCAATTGAGCAGGTAGCCATTAAGATGGGCAGCAGGGTTGTACCCTCCCTCTACCCCCAGATATACAAACCAGAAGGGCCACTTCAAGGCAGCCGGAGGTGACGACCAGGCTTTTGTGGAATAGCTGGCCTGACAATGACTTTGAGATGGTCTGGTGCCCATGCATGTTTTTGTAGCCCAGTTAAACTGTAACATCTTGGTCAGCAAGGGCACTGTCTTCTCCTGGGCAGGAAGGTTCCTCAGCAGAAATGAAATAGGACACAAACGGGGGCGTGAAACGGGGGTGTCAGGGCGGCGCTAGCAGTCGGTGGAGATTTTGGCAGACAGGTCCTGGATCCGGCGGGCGCTGCAGCTCTTGCACAAGATGTGACCGTCCAGTGGGTAGCAGCCGCGCCCCTCCCCCTCCGACGACAGCAGCAGGCCGCATTCCTGGGGGGGGGGGGGGGGTATCAGCCAAAAGCCACTGTCCCCCTGCCTTCTTTATCCTACTTCTAGTCAAGTCAGGAAGTTGTTACCTGGCCTGGTAACACCATCATTACCCATAATGAAGTGCATACTAGAACTATCACACTATTATGCAGTGAATTATCCTGCGTAATGGTAATAAAGAATGATAAACTATATAAAAAAAATCACTGATGTAATTCAGGGGCCTCCTGACAAACACATATTACAGAATTTAAATCTCACATCTACCCTGGGGTCAAATTGACCCCCAAAGGCACATGTTAGGTGACTTCTCATAGTAACATAATTGTTATGGGAGTGTGTAAGAGTTAAACTATACCTTTGTCGCTCAGCCACATGTAACTCTGGTTGCCTTGTGGGTTTAAAAATAAAGTTCCCCAGGATTTTGTTTTTTTTGACGCACGCCCACTCTTGGTGAGACGGCATTAAGGCTGCCAGACAGCCGGGGAGACCCTCGTTAACTGAGTCAGACCCTATTCTGTAGGTCCCAGGATGAAGCCTGAAGCCCATGGGGGGGGGGGGGGAATCACACACACCACTCACCTCACACATGTAGCAGTTGACGTGGAAGCTACGGTCCAGAGCTACGATCCTCACAGTCTCCTCCTGGCCCGGCTCCGGCATGATGGCCTGACCACACACTGAGCACCGTGGGGCGAACTTCCTGCAGCGGGCGGGAAAGCAGACGCACGTACATGGAAGCACTGAAGGCTTACATCACATGCAACCCAGCACCACCTCCTGGCCCCAGCCCTGCTCCTAACCTGTGGAAGTCGTCAATGCAGTGGATCTGCGAGGTTGCATCCACAGTGAAGGGCACGCCGTCCAAGCAGCAGCCGCACACCACGCAGGTGAAGCAACGCGGGTGGTACGCCTTGCCCATGGCACGTAGCATGCGGTCCAGGATGGGCTGGGAGCACTTGGTGCAGCGCTCCAGCGTGCTCTGCAGACACAGGGCAGGCCAGGATTCTCATCGTGAATAACGAGACAGAGGAAACAAAGCAGTGGCACTGGGGTACAGAGAAACATCTGTCTGCTTATGGGGGGGGGGGACTAGTAATGGCGAAAGGAATCACATGCTGTATTTTCTAATCCCACTAGATGGTGCTCTCTGTTCAAAAGAGGGTTCAAAGCATGCCTCAAAGCAAGCCAAGAGCACCATCTAGTGGAGTCAAAAAATACAGCAAATGGTTCATAAAGCTTCATTTGGCCATCACTAGGAAATAACCAAGGCAAAATAAAACAAGACTGAACACAAGATGGCTTACGCAGCAAGCAGACAGACAGGCGCCCCCAAGAGGGAGAAGCTGGAATATGTATATAAAGGTATATAGGAGGGATACCAATGAGACACCACCCCAGCAAAAAGGGTGCAAAAATCACTTTACCTGCACAGGTTCTGAAATAATTAGTAATAAACAAACAGAATGAACTGGAAGAGTCCAAATTACAATGTGGGGGGGTAGGTTAAAAAGCATGTCACTGTGGGAAAACCACAAAGGGGCGGGGGGACTCACGATATAGCAGCTTTCGCAGTAGCTCTTCTTGTCTAGCGCGTAGAAGGGCTGTCCGCGCAGGCGAGTGTGGCATGTGATGCAGGTGAAGCAGTCGACATGGAAGACCTGCTCCATGGCCACACAGCCGCTGCCGTCACCCAGCACGTTGTTGCCGCAGCGTGCACAGCGTCCTGAATATGACCCCAAGAGGATGCAAGCGTGTCATCGACCCTACCACAAATCCGAACCCATGCTATTTAATAATCTGTTAGCAACCAGTGGGCTCATGTGGGGCATACCAAAGTACTCCTCAGTGTGGGGGTGATTCATGTCGTACACCAGTTTCTTAGTCAACCTCTCCAGCTCCTCTTCTGGCCTCGGTACAGCCCCCTAGTGGTTGGAGGTAAAAGCTATGGACTATAGCTCTATATTGCATGCAAATGTTCTTACATTTGTTTTTAGGCTGGTGCACAGCTGATATGACCTGCCTGTAGGTGGCGTGTGGAACCTCACCTTGCCAGCGGGGTAGGTGGGCCCATGGCTGGGGGTTGGGGGCTGTGCGTCAGCGCTCCTCTTTGGCAGGGATCCCTGGCTGGACCGGGGGCCTGTACCAACAGCACCCCCTTTGTAGACACCCACGGGCTCCTGTTCCCGGGCCGAGATGGGGTACCAAGGCGCCTGTCCTGGAGTAGCTTCAGGGTAGGAGTGCGGGGTGTCCTGTGGCCGAGGTGGAGGGGGGGCATAGGCCTGCTCGGCGTGCTGGCCCGGCTGTGAGTAGGTCACCGGCTGCGCTGTCCTGACCTGCACGCTGAAGCGGGGGCCCATGGGGGTGGAGGCAGTGCTGTAGGAGGCCGGCACGGGCTGGGGGTACTGCCTCGGCGGGGGGGAGTAGAGGTACTCCTGCTGGGGGCCAGTGACCGGGGCTTCCCCGGCATAGGGAGATCCCAGATGGTATGGGGAGGGGGAATATGGGCCATATCCCACAGAGGACCGGCCCAGGGGGGGCGTGCCAGTCTGGGCCACAGGCTTGTATCGCTCCGCCGGAAGGTGCTTAGTGTAAGGCACGTTGTCATACACCTGAAACATTCACATTTAATTTATTAACCAATCATTTTTATCCAAAGTGTCTTATGTTTGAGGAAGCAGGGTCAGCCAGTCCCTGGAGTGACTGGGGGTTAAGGGCCTCACTCAGGAGCCCAACGGTGACATCACTCGGCTGACACTGGCATTTGAACCAGCAACCATCACAGGCATGGCAACCTAACCCACTGAGCTACATAGTGCCCCAAAATGGGTCAAACGGGAGACTCGCATGCCAGGCGTGTCGAGTGCCTGGATCACATGACAACATACATGCAGAAGAAAAATACCAAAACGGCTATTCATAGAGATCAGCAGCTGGACATGTGTTCAGACCCAGCAGAGTGGTGACACACCCATGTTAGGGGCCAATTTCATTCTCATCTCCTAAACTTTACTAAGATAGATAAACATAACAACATAAAAATTCATGAGCCTTATACAGATGAAGAAAAAGACAGCATTCAAAGATAATAAAGCTGGCAAAAACCTATATTATGGACTTATAGACAATCAACTTACTGCTACTGATAGAATCACAGATACATAAATACAAGGAAAAAAGACAAAGAGAAAACTGCCCTCGTTTCAGTGGTTGCTATTCTTCCTGGAATACGAGTTGAAGCTGCAAAATTCAAATAATCCACATCCACCATGATTTCCTCGCCTCTGCGACTGGACACACAAGGTGGGGGTGCACCTAACTGGACCTTAACTGCTCACCTGTGTTCTTGAGTTCTGGGGGCGACTGTCCAGGTCTGCCAGCATGCAGGTCAACGAGTCAATCTCTGCATCGATGTTGGTGAGGTGTCCTCCAGGCTTGTCTGGACCTCGGTTCTGCAACGGTAAGCAAAAAGCTTTGATGTAGCTTTGCAAAAGAGCATAGCAAAAAAAGGCAGTGGACACTCAGAACATCTCACCATGTTTTTGGGCTGCAGACTTAAGAGAAACCCAGGCAATGCAGTGAGAACTCCACAGACAGCGAGCCGGGGGCTGGATTCGCGCCAGCGAGCCTGGAGCAGCCACACCGCCCTTTACACCTTCCAATTTTACACTCGAGAGATCATTACTCGCTAAGCCGCCCCCATTTTTACAACCCAGCATAGCCTGCAATCTCTCACTCCATCTTCAGGAAGCTCTCCGGCGCCGAACAGCACTCATCATGCAATGAATCACTCACTCCTCTCCTCTCCTCTCCTCTCCTCTCACTGCAGCAATCGCTCCCCTTCCCTGACAGGCTGGACGTTTTTGCTTACATCAGCAGATGGGCAATTCCTGGATTCACATCTCATCTGTCAGACCATTAACCAGTTTGACTGGATGCCACTCAGGAGAGTGAAAGGTTCTGAGGTCGTAACCGCAGTAAAGCAACAGACTAAGAATGTTTATATATACACACACACACACACACACACATACGTTATTATTATTATTATTTATATATATATATATATATATATATATATATATATATATATATATATATATATATATACACACACACAATTTTATATTATATCATACAATATATATATATATTATATATATGCATATAGTCAGAAAAACACCATCTATAAATAATGCAGAATAACCGACCCACACCTCCGTTATCTCTAGACAAGATCATCCTGGTGCTCTGCTACCTGACTGCACTGCCACCTCCCTTAAGCCAGACTCAGCCACAGATTAAGGAGTCCCTCCTGCTAGCTTCTCCCTGTCCTGAATACCTTAAAGCCCATCTGGCGGTCTCTGCAATCGGCTTCCCCTACCTGCTCACCAGGCGCCCATTACGTTGCTGTGGAAGTTCCTGGATCACAGGATGACGTACCTGCCCCAATTCAAACGGACGCCATATTTAAGTCTCGACTAAAGCCTAGCTCGTCTGCATGCCTGCAGCTAAAGATCCTGACTGCAAATTGGGTCCAAATCACTTTTTTTTTTTTGCGCACCAGCCAGCCAGTGGGGGCCCCTCTCCTATCACAGCAGAGGATGAACCGTTAGCTGTTCCAAGCCCCTTTTTCGGAGTTGACCTTCTCTGTTCACCCGACATATGCTGCCTTGTTCATCAGGGATCTTCTGTACTGCGTGTGGTTCTTTCTTCTCCGAAGAAGGCTCTATAAGTATGTATTAGGAAAAATTACGTCCCCAAGTGGTGATTGGTCTTCTCAGACCTGCTCAGGACTACGTGATCATACATCAGACCCGGGCAGCTGGTCATCGATAGCATCTACAGCGAAAGTCCAGCATATCTATAGGGCTTCCAGCGCCCGTGTTCCTTATCTCCTACCATGACCATGATTCCGTTCTCAAGAAAAATTTTCATTTCATACAACACCCCACGTCTTTTTTATAAATGATTTTGGTTTGCTTCTTGGTGCTGTCTTTATTCAGGTGTTTCCTGACTTTCAGTTCCTTCTGGGGGAAAAAACCCTGCAGCGGGTCCAAGTAACACACTTTGTAAGGTGCAAACCTGCGAGCTGTACGGGCCCATGTGCGGATTCCAGGGGGAGCGGTCCTCTTTGGAGCCATAATAGTGGTCGCTGGACTTGGGTGAGAGTGGGCGGAAGCCGGGTGACCCAGAATCCTCAGGGAATGTCGTGACCCCTCCTGGGAACACAGACACATGGATGCTTTAATGTAAACAATACATCAAAGTTCGTTCATTCATTCATTCAATCATTGATCCATCCATCCATCATCTATTTCCACTATACAGGGTCACCGGATCTAGAGCCTATCCCAGAGGCTATGGGCAAAAAGCAGGGAATAACCCAGGATTGGGCACCAACCCATCACCGGACTTAAAGTATTACGCATAATGTAAGACGAAGTGATTCGAATCATGCGTTTAAGGGTCTCAGTAAGTGCGTTTAATTCCAGGTGAAAGGAGGTACGAAGGCTGCCTGACCCACCACGTCACCCAGGTCCTACCTGAGGGTCCCGCTGCCATGAACCTGGCGCCCATCCCGCTGGCGCTGCCGTTCTGGTCGTAGGCTCCGTATCTGGGCCGGCTTTCCCCGGCTACCTTCTGAGGGGGTCTGTAAAAGCCTGAGCCAGCCTGCGACACGTGAGGGCCGGGTCTCTCCGGACTTCCCATGGTCTTGGGTGGTAGCCAGGTCGGACCAGACATCTCTGAATTCTGCCGGGCAGGAATTCAGTGAAGTTTGTCAGCTGACGTTACGATACCTGCTGAAGGCCAACATTGGGATGTTCCTAAGCAGCCAAAGCTGACCCCCCTCCCCCAGCCAACCTCACAAAGACACTCCGAAAACATTAAACCTCCATGAGACAGTATGGACCTAACCCAGAAGTCTCCAGGCCCGCGATGACTCCATCCAATCCTGAGTTCTCTTAAATGTCCCTCCTTACCTACATTTTCCAGCCAATGGGTGTTCTGCTCAGGAACATGGAATGTACCATCCATCATTGGGGGTAGGAGTGGCTGTGTGCCACTGTTTGAAAATTACCCCCCCTACTCTTACCTGGTAACCCAAGGACAGTCCCATAGTGCTTGGTCTGATGGCAGTATTGCTATGGACTGGCCCAGTGATGCATCAAAAGCACCCATCCTACTGGCCTGACGGCACCACACACCGGCATGTTTATAATCGGGATATGGGTGGGGGAGTTGTCTTGACAGACCAAGAGAATTCTAGCAGTCGGAATAACCCATCTTCCGCTCCGTCCCACAGTCAGACAAGCACATGTCTGCAAACGGGTACACACACAAGATGACATACAACAGACACTACACCTCCCTCACACACCACAGCAAGTGTTTTAGAAACTCATACTGTCCCTAACAGTGCAGTCCATAACCAAAACACGAAACTGTGTAACGTTCTCCCACACAGCTCTCTAGGCGAACACTTGGTGACGTCTACCATTACAAATCATAGCATCGAGACTCCCCGTGTGCAGCACTACTGCACCGAAAAAACAACGTTTAAAATTTAGGCTCAGCTGCTCGGAGCACGTAATGGTGTAAACATTAATATTAGGACATGTTTCATAGCTAACCTGATCAATTCTGAGAATATCGTTTTCATTTTCTCCGTCTCATTTCTGCATGCAATAAAACCACAGGATCTTAAATAAGAGTCATAGCTGTGCCGTTACATTCATATGCCGCAAAGATAAAAAATCATGTCAAGGTTAACCGTTCGCCACCTTTTAAATTTAGGCTGATTTGGCATTCGTGCCGATTATTGAAGGAGACAGTCGGACGATCGGGGGTGTCGGTGGAGGCGCAGCACTTGCAGATGCCCACACCGTGCAAACTTCAGTCTCAAACGGACGAAGTGCATATACGCGAATCCGTGGATCGGCGGGCCCGGGAAGTGATCGCAGAGCCGGTCGAGCCTAAAGGCGCTGGGAGACAGCTGATAGGAGGCATCCACGCCTCGGGTTATCAAAGCGACCGACGCAACGATGGCTGACGGACGCGGACATTATGATTTAGCGGGAGGCAACTTGGTCACAAGAGTGACTCCTGCGGGCGCTTCATAGGCTTGCTAGCCTGTGCAAAACAGGACGGGATCGTGTAAAGTCAGCAATTAACTCAAAAGTGGATAGTTGCATCACTCCATAGCAGCACCGACAACATAACTGACGCGCCGGGGAGATGAGTCGTTGCAGATAAGTTGTTATACACAATCTAGAAAGTTCAGCTACAGTCGCAACACTCTTTCTGTACCTTTTAAATGCTGAAGTGCCCCTTTTCGCTACAGTCTCCTTGTGCTCACGTTTCTCATCTGCAAAAAGAAACACACCGGTAATGTAGCTAGAGCATATAGCAGTGATCGATACCAGATCAGGTTAACTGTTCTCTAACACTAACTTGGGAAGTAAGGAACCAGCCTTGCACAGCCTGACATGCAACATTACGACTTGATTTAAGCACGCCAGTCTGGATGACCAAGTTTGGCTGTTTGACGTCCGTTTTTTCCAATTATATAGACCGAGAAATCAAGCCCCAAAATGATGAATACTTGTTGACTATGTTTACTCAGTTTTGCCCGTAAATCTCCTGCTTGCCGCCACATTTACGTTTGAGTATCTCGCACAATCCTCCAGCACTTGTTGCGCCCCGCCAGACGTGCGAATTCCACTTGTCAATCCTTCCCTGGTTTCGCTCCCAGCCGGCACTGAACTCTCAAAACAAACTTTTCGCAGTTTGTCGGGCTTCCCTTTTTTCCGTCAGTGTTTTCCCTACCCTCTCATTTTTTCTCGGGGATTCTGCCTTTTTCCACAGGCCCGTGCTCTCGTCATCGCATTCCTGGCGCGTGACGTAGGCGGACGCGTGCCGTGGGAGGCCGCGTGTGTCTCTCCGTGGATGGACGGATGGAGGAATGAACTGATGGATGATTCGATGGATTCCTGGACAAATATAGATGCCGCGCTGGCGCAGTGCTTAAAATATCCGCACAAACTATTTTTCACAAGACGTTAGTAAAATCAGGGGCGCATCTAACGCGTGTAGAGTTTTTTCGAATATTACCTTTTAATAGGATTGTCTTCTCTAAAAATTACATGTAACATTTTTCTATAAATATGTGCAACAGCTTATTTTTCAAATATTAACCTTTAATATATGGGGAATATTTATTTAGGTACATCCATCCATCTTCCATAGCTGTTTATCCAGTACAGGATTGAATGGAGCACAGGCCACATGGCCCATAGACGGGATGATAGTCCATTACAGGGCATATACTCACAGAGAATTAGCATTTTCGAAATGTCAAGGAACCCAGAGGAACTGCAGGGAACACATATAACATTGGAAAACTGTGCCCATTCTACCTTGGGGGAGGGAGGGAGGGGGGGGGGGGCAGTAGGATGTAGGATAGGAGTCAAATCAAATCCCCACCTTGGAGGTTTGAGGCCTGTTCTCATTTGTCTGGGCCAATTTGTAAAAGTACCAGATTGTGTGAAAGGTGAATGATAATAAGCCAGGAAATGCACTGGACAAACTGTGATAAGCCATATTGGTGATACCGAGTTTCTTATCCGAGGCTGACATATTTACCTAGACGGGGGAGATCGCAGGGCCAGATAAGCAGGCTGTTCAGTAACCAGGGATCCCCCCCCCCCACTCCCAACCCCCAGCTGGGTATCGGACCGCCTCTGACTGCCTTTCTGCTTCTGGGAAACAGAGCATGCAGGTCTTCTTGGAAGCACGGCTGCTGCTTGCAGGCAGAGGTGCTCCTGGAACAGCGGGCCGCCATCACAGCAGGTCGAAAAAGAAATGGAATCTGACAAAAACAAGTGTTATCTATAAATAATACTACTTTTAATAATTGTACTATTATTTCATACTGTCACGCCCAAGGGGGGTGGGAACGGACAGGTGCAACACCTCAGCGGCTGATTAATTCCCCTTAAAGGAAGGACACCATCAATCTTCAAACTGCGAAGTATTGCGCTGATGAAAAGAAGCCTTACCAAGCATTTCTCTGTCCGTCTCCCTTTTCTCCCGCTCCTTGCCAGTTTACCTTGTGGAAGATCCTTACCTTTTGCGCCTTCCCTCCTCAGTCCAGCTCCCGATCCTGACCAACCCGTCCTGCTGAGCCCGGTTCCTCCTGTCCTCCTCCCCGCTTGTTCTCCTGTCCTGTGTTCACTCGTCGGACGGACCTCTTGGCTATCGACCCTCGCTTATGGACCACGACCACGATTATCGCCTGCTGTTCCTGGACCTGTCTGCCTGATCGCCACCCCGGGAGAAGCTCCCTTACCTCGCACAGCCGCTCCGATTACCCGGACGGTTGCGCTCTCCCTTTCTCGCCCTGCTGGGCTGATGTTTGCCTGTATTCACCTGCTATCTGTTTCATTAGAGCCCTGCTTTCCCTGCAGTACTGGATCCGCGTCTCCCTTCTTAGCCCAGTGTGACACATACATTGTTTGATTCTATAATACTGCTCCCTCTGTTCATTAGCGCTGATGTTGTGGCCTTACTGATATGTGCTTCGGAGCCTCCGGGGACCATCTGCCTGTGTTGAGTTTTACTGGGTTCACAGTCACTTCCTGAGGTCCCTCTGTCCATTACACTGAACTAAATAACCAAACCGCAGCTCAATAAGTAGGGTGATGTGCTAACAGTGCAAAGACTGTGGGCCTGAATCTGAACATAAATTGTTCCCTCTACTGCAAGTCATTTTTGATAAAACGATCAACAATTTGGCGGAGAATGGAATAAAGGCCAGACAGGCAGGGTGGGGAGAGAGAGATCTTGTGAGGCTGTTGCCAGATAACTATAGATAGGACATATAATATAACACCCCAGAATAGACCAATCACAGGATGTGAAGGACAGGTGTAATTATTCAGCTGACCAGTCCTGGTTACCAGCACTCCATCCCACCACAATTGTTTGTACAAATAATTGAAATGTGCTTCTGCTGACAGTATCTGCACTCCCGGGGGTGTTCACAATTTCTCTTTTCACCACCGACATGTATTCTCCCACTAGGTGGTCTTTTGTTTTCTGGGATGTTGCCGAAACCTTGACGGCAGAAGCAGTGAGTCATTTTCACTTCGGCGGAGTAGCAGCAACGGAAATGTGGTGTTTCTCCACCGCGGGGCACCCAGATGGAGTGGACAGACGTCTGTGGAGAACGTATGTAGCTCATGGTTATCACACCACTGCCACCCACTGCAGAGGCGTTCAGTTATGATGCTTCCCCCTCCCCCCACTAAAACCAGACCACCCTTTTCCTCTCCTCACCTTTCCTGGAAATTCCCCTCATCCACTCAGCTTTTTGACACATCTGACCATTTGGCGCTATAATCAAGGAAGGAACACCAGGGTTGCATGCTTTCAGACTCTCACACTCACACTAGAAATCTTACAGCAAATCTGTATTACTCCATCATAAACCTAAAATTAGCTACATCAAAACTTTGGGGTAGTATGCAAACACTACAGATTATTTACAACGCAGTAAAACTCTTGCATACATGTAACTGCATGTACATGTGTGTGCAGACTTGTCTCAAATTGAAAATCTCACACCAGCCAGCTGACGTGAGATTCTGGAACACAGACAGGTCGAAACCTTTGACCCCCCCCCCCCCAGGAACGTTTACATGTATTGACAGACACCTTTATCTTTAGTGACATACATTTAGAGAAAGAAGGATCAGCCAGTTCCTGGAGTAACTGGGGGTGAAAGGGCTTTGCTCAAGGCTCCAGCGGTGACATCACTCTCCCAACTGTAGGATTTGAACAGATGACCTTCTGATCACAGGGATAGAGTCACACATCACCACGCATTTAGCAGACTCTTCTGTCCAAAGCAGCATGCAAGCGAGGTAGATCCTACAGCACAAGTGCACAGCTGTCAAGGAGCTCAGACACAAACACTGCTAGGCTCAGCTTCCAACGCATGGCTGCAAACAAGGGCAAAACAGTTATGGGAAAATCAGTCACACAAACATGGGAAAAGAAACCTGGTATTTGTAATCACAAATGCTATGAACTACTCATTAGGTTGGCTGAGTCAGAGGCAGCATAAAATCAGTGGACAAATATCTCTCACCGGAGAACCTAGCGTGATGGTAAGTCTGTGTACAGGATTCAGAAATATAGAATAGCATCTGGCGGTGTCAAGCAAACCATTTGCCGATGGAACAAGCCAAAAACTGCAACTCTTTTGGACTGCACCTTCAGGCGCACTGTGCAAATATATGGAATCTGCAGATGACACCATTTGATTACCTTTGTGTGTGCAGAGGGTGTAATGAGAAAAATCCATCATTCCAGGCTGATGACTGAAATTCAAGTTTCACAGCCGCACCCCCGCCCACACTGGCAGGCGGTCCAATGCCCTCCTTCAAATATGCATTTTTTATTCCTCTGAAACGGTCTGCCTTAGAAGAGAGAACTGATATACAGATGACACTGTAAGGGCGGTAAGTGACACGGTGTTCACCAGAGCCATGCGACTCAGTGGTTCACAGGCTTCGACTTAATCAGCCTGTGGGGTGGATCCTTCAGATTTTGGGTGAGGCACAGCCTGACTTAACAGATCACACTCTATGTTACTGTAAGGCAGCCTGCTCCCAGTAACCAAGCTCATACCTGCCCTATAAGGCAGTGTTTCCCAACCCGGTCCTTGGGGACCCCCAGACAGTCCAGGTTTTTGCTCCCTCCTTCTATAAGATGGTGCTTTGCCCGTGTAATCAAGCAGATGTCTGTTTTTCAGTGCCCACGCTGCTTTCTGTTTCACAAATTGCGTCAGTGCAGTACAGGGTCACGGTCAGCCGTAATCTACACATATTATTGACAATCTAGAGACACAAACCGGCATACCCCAAAGAACACCACATAAACACAGAGAGAACACGCTAACTTCACACATGGAACATGAACCCACAATCTTAGAGGTGTGAGCTAAAGTGATACCCATTGGACCATAATGCCACCTGGTACACAAAACAGTATATTCTCTAGTTTTTTCTCTCTTTTTTGTCAGGCTGAGCCATATGTGGCAAAGCATGCTGGGAGGACACTCTTTTGTCCCTGAAAGTACCAAGCAGGTCTTTCTTTGGAGTTTTCTGCAATGCCCACAGTTCATTGTCTACTTTGTTGGTAGTTTTACCTACTCTTCCGTAACAACACTCTTAGTATCAGCCCTGAAGCCCAAGTTTTGTGCTGCAAAATGGCCTGAGCTGTTACCCAAGCGTTTCTCTCCCACTGAGATGCTGTCTTTGATCCTGAAGAGGCGAGAAACTGGGGAGGGGCTCTGCTTGGCACGGACAGGGTGTCATCATCTGAGGAAACATCTACTTCAGTTTTTTTAAAACAAAAATGTGAGTCATTTTCATATCATCGCTGCATGAAGATAAAATTTCATACTTCACAATAAATACCTCGAAGCGGAGACCTGTTTATTCTGATTTAGTGTGTAGATACTATAATGCATATATTTCACATTTCTTTTAAAAAATGTCTAAACTGATACAAGCACTCATATGTACTAACAGCAGCCTCAATCCACAGGTTCACAGTATTCATTAATTATGCAATAATCGTTAATCATACAATTAGCACAGTTACTGTAGTCATTGCATGGTAGAGAGAGCATCCATTCAATACATAACCGTAAAAATGACTGCCCCTCCCCCCAGCGCAGTCTTACCTGCTGCAGTTTAACTAGAGGTTTAACCGTTCTGTCAACCTGATGACTCACTCCAGCGAGAAGCCCTACTGCTGTGATACCTGTGGTACCAGATTTATCCAGGTGGGGGAGCCGGTTAGGCAGGTGGCGGCACGCTCACAGCTGGGTGACAGGTCGTGGAGGAGTGTCTCTGGTGACGACAGGCGCATGTTCTGCAGGCGCATGTTCTGCACCCCGTCAGATTTATGGGATGCATTTCCACCACCTGGTCACGCTGAAGAGCTACATGCACCTTTGCACCGGTGAGAAGCCACATGGCGTGAGTCCGGCCGAGCGTGCTACCTGCCACTCAAACTGAAAGGGTGGACTCCGATCTGCGCTCAGTCGCTAACCCGCTGTGTCTCACCACAAGAGGCAGCACCAGCACTGTGGTGTCACCAACACCAAGGTCTGCCACAAAGTCCTGCTGACCCCTACTGCCCCCTGCTGGAGTCACGCAGAAATGC